ATAGGGTGAATACATCTCATATATTTTATTGACTTGAGCGCATATCCGAAGAAATTAACAGCCAGAATGCTAAGTTTACTTTGCTCCTAGCGCTCATGAAAACGATTATGAAAAGTGAACTTTAATTACAACTATGTCTGCCTAAATTTTTAGGCGATGCATCATGGGCTTTAGTCTTCATGTCACATATTACAACAATTTGTCAAAATTACACTGAATGGGTATTGAACAAATGTAGTCCAGTAAACGAGAGGAGTTAGTATCAATTTTACATAAAATTCCTTTGACTATAAAGGATACGAATAAAGTGTTTCCCAGTAATTTAGCCTGGCCGGCAACGCTTCATCATCATTCCGCAAAACATTACATCCCGGAGATAAGTATCTAATAAACACAGGCGGTTGAGAAAATATTTTGATTGTGGTCCGTCTTTATCTTTGGAGGTGTGTCATTACATCATTTAGCTCCTTACACCAAACTCGGGTGTCTCGGTAAAGGTGATGATAAACAGTCCTTCACTGAATTTCACTGCAACCGAAGTTTCAAACAAGAAGTATTTTGCACTATATTTTGCAACTTTGTCATATTATCAGAGAGACAACCTTCCTTAAAGTTCATATCTGCCCTGTGACCCACGGGCATTCGTAGTAATGCGGTGTAGTGGTAAGCGTCTCGATATTATACGCTACATTGTCATAGTTCGAGCCCCGCTTGGGTTGTTGACATGATCAAGGCGAAGTCTAAACGGCAGTCCACCCTGGATGAGAAGGCTTTATTTTCAATGGAAACATGAGGTCTACTCATATGATTGTGGAAAAATTCAACTACAAGTCCCTTTATCAGCTCAAATGAAATATGGTGACTATATCGTACATACAAGTGAATTAATGTTTTCCTCTTAGTTTGCTTGTGAGCAAAAATCATATCGGCCTCCTACCTTAAAGCCATTGGATTTAAAAATAAGGGCTGTGTTTCCCTTAGGTCACATGACGTAATTTATGACTGATAGTTAAATTTTCCCAGGTTGGCACTAGCAGGCCTCACACTTTCATTGTAATTCACATACACATGCTTTTCAAAAGGTGTTCTCATCCAGAGTTGACTGCCGTTTCAGCCTCACCTGGGCCTCATCAGCAGCCCTCAAAGGATGTTAACCGGGTTAATGCGAATTATAGTCTCAACACAGCACGGCTTATGCTACACTGTCACGGATGACCCTGAGTCACAGAGCATAGGGGCATTCCCAGACAGGCCAGGCCTTTATCGTATCACATTTTTTTAGTAGGATTTTCGATGAAAGAGACTAGTATTTGCTATTGCAATCAGCCTACTTAGTCCAAAGATGAGTTGATAATTATATTAAAAATTTCTACAATAATGATTTAAGAGAAGATTAGGATATTACATGCTATACAATTATTATACTATTAGACACTTAATTTGCCTATGAATTGAATACATCCGTGCAAATTCCTCAATTTACTTAGACGAAATATTGCTGATTCTAAGGAAAATTCTGCTAACTAGCAAGCATTAAATATGAATTTTTATCCCGAATTCTTATATTTTGAATTAGCATGCTCATCAAGATTTGTAAGCCCATATGCGCAAAGGTATTGCAGTGCAAGTTGACGAAGGTCAAATGATGCAGTATATCTGGTCTAACATCTCTTTGTTGCCAATTGCACTATTATAAGTGCCACTAGATAAGGGTGCGATCTACCAAACCATAGTTAAACCGCATGCACTTATCAACATAATAAAACTATTCTTTCCACGCAACTGAATAATTTACGAGGTTTCGGTGTTGAAACATTTATTAGTGAGATAACAAAGAAGCTGATAAATAGGGGATAAAAATCATACACCATAATAGCTTTTAGATTATAATTTTTATGAGGATTTACCCCCTGCATAGAGCACGGACAGCCTATTTAACATGTACGGGATCTTTATCCTG